CACCCACTGAAGTATAAATAAAGACCGGGGCAGTCTCTCATTTGCGAATCTTGGAGCCTCACTCTTGGGTGTGTGAGCTCTGGAGGCTGCCCTTGCTAGCAAGAAAATCTGTGTGTTTCCCCTTTCTGATTCTCTGCTGAAGAAGTGTTTTAGAATATATCTCTTAACAAACTATTTAAGTAAAATGTAATTTAATTGGAAAAATTGAACTATGGTTCATATTTTTTTACTGCGCTTTAAAACAATAGTCAACTATTAATAAAATGGGTTAATGTATCTGAGACTTTATTATAGACAATTCAAGATTAAAAGGAAACTGCATCCACATTTATATAACAGGATATACTCCATGTATTTCAATTATTTATTTGTAAATTTATATAGCACTCTTCACAGACACAAAATACAACATAAATTGTCCATAATGTCCAACATGGTTCATTATCTTAAATGTGTACCAGAAAAACTAATTTGCCCAATCCATTATTGAGATTCCAATGTGACAAAAGTTGAGAAGCAGACATTACACATAAAATGTTATCATAATGGCTTTAACTAAACTTATTGTGAGACACGATACTCCTCTTGTTTCAAAAAACAATGGAACATTTATGTTTTAATCACTGATGATTGTTTCACTATTTTTCCCCTTTTCTCAGCAAAATTATCATTTTTGTCTAAAATAAAGAAAAATAAATAATAATTACAATTTCAATTGTGTGCTGCTGTTTATAAAAAAGGCTAAACCAAAACTTAAAATTGAAAAAAAAAAAGAAAACAAATTGGTATCAGATAATGACTTGATGAATTAATACTAAAGTAAAATAGAAAAAGACAAAAGACAACAATCATTTAAAAGTTAAACGTAGATATAATTAACTGGGTACATATGCAGGCCACTGTACATCACAAATAATTACAAGTGGAGAAAAAGAAATGCAAAACAATGTTACATCTTACATCTTTATGTTATTAAGGTAATTTTTTTCACCTCAAGTTTCTAAATTTAAACTTTTCAAACCACTAAACAGCCCCTTAAATTTGTCACCAACATGTCCAAACCTGTACCGAAGTCCTGCCATAATTCCTTCATCCACTCTGTTGCGCATCTCCACCAGTTTCTTGACCTTCTCGGTGTCTTTTTTCTCAGTCATAAAAAACAAAAAGTTAAAAGAGCAAATGCATATACAGGGACTCTATGACTATTTCTTAACACGTTTAGCTTTAGTTTTCATAGGACTGGGACATCCAGCTAAACTAGTAATCTGACGATATACAACTTCATTGTGTAAAATCTGTAAAACAAATAAAGACATCATGCAATGAATAATAAATTCATTGCATTACGTATGGCAAATAAAAGACATGGTTCACAATCTAAACCATAGCAGGGCTCTAGAGTGCGACCAATTTGGTCGCAAATGTTACCTTATGTAACAAATTTGTAACAAAAGTACATAAAGAATTACTAGTTAGTTAGTTACTAACTAACTAGTAATGTTACCTTATATAAAAACATGCTATGTAAACAAAAGGTCATCATTAGTTTTCTTACCTGTGTATTTACGTTTGCCAATGAACAAAGAAAACAGATGAGAAGTCAATGTTGAGAATGCTGCTTTATAAATCTTCATAGACAAGGAAGAATTTCTGAAAACACAAAAAAAATTTAACACAGTACATTTAAGTGGAAAATGAAAATGATAGCAACCCTTTACATTCCCTTGACTTCCTAGTTAAATAATAATTGTTTAGCTGAACTTGTGCCCTTTCTATGAAATCACGTGACATCAGACACACATACACACACTCAAACAGACAGACCTCTGAGTGCAATCAATACATGACCACAAAAGAAATAACACTTGAAATTAATGTTTATTTTAAATGAAACCTCACACCCACTTTCACAGTGTCTGCATTTTGACAATATGTTGTATTATTAGCAACGGTGAATGCACATTGTTATGCACAATAAGCATATTATATGTGTGACTACTTTAATTTAATGTAAAACCCTGCATTACATGTTACAGTTTATCAGTGTTGAAAAATTATATATTTTGAGTGTGACAGTATGTTAACAGGTTGTAGAGTTAGCAAGTAGGCTAAATCAAACAGAGAAAAATAAATGTAGCTTCTGTTATCATACTGTAATCAATTTTCAATAAAGCGACTGTTTTTGAGCAGAAAAATATTCTTGCATCTCCCTCCTTCCTTGTAAAAAATGCCACCTTTCACTTTTTTCTTTAACCAAACTGAAAGTAAAAAGAAAAAAAGGGGGGGGGATTAAAGAACACATTATTTCTAATTTCTTACCTGCGAATGAGCCAGAATGAATGAGAAATCAGTCTTGAGCCTGAAGCACTGCAGCTTTACATGAAGAGAAACTTTACATTCTGTAAAGCCAGAGAGAAGTTCACCATAAGAACAAGCCTTTGCCTTCACTTTCTGTTTAGCTGAAACTTCCCCAGTTCTATGAAATCACATGACCTCCAAAGACACACCCAAACACATAGACTTATATAACTATCTTTTTGATCTTCACAAAGATAGCTTGTGTGACGTGTAATAAAACATATCACACTCCTTAAACAAAAAGAGATAGGAAATTGATTTGTTCTTTTGATATGAATGCTGTAACTCTGAATTTTAAGTTTAATAAAAAGTTTAATAAAAGCAACAATTACATTGATTTATTGATTTGTATAGCACACTTCACGGGATAAAAACCACACAGTGGTTCACAATAATATAAAAAGGAAAAACATAAAAGAGCAGAATCAAACATACGACACAAATCTAGTTAAAAGCCAGTCATAAATGAGTCTTAAGATGATGTTTAACGCTCTGGGTTCAGGGTATAATTGGCCATTTTTGACTACTTTGATTTTACCTCTATATTTCACCTTTAAAAAACATTTTTTTGCCTCATTTTGCATTATTATTTTCAGCACAACCTCAAATATCTGAAATTTTAAGTTTCAGATATTAGCACAATTGATCTAAATTTAGATAAAAAACTTAAAATCTGAGTAGTAAAAGCGAGTGATATTTTTTACTATAAAAACCACAAAAGTACTTAACGAATCATTTTCATTACTTGAAATGCAAATGGAAATTGTAAATGTGTTAAAATTATGCAAACAATTATGCAATTATGTTTTGCAAACAATAAAGTTATATAAGGATAAGGATTTTATTTGTCAGCTGCAGCTGAAAAGATGACCAAGTCGACCATACAGACAATACATACAATATACAGACTTACAGGCAGGTCAGGTTAGGCAGCAAAAAAAGGGATAGACAGTGAGACATGTAACATTTAGGGGCAAATTCAGGAGAGAAAAAGGATTCCTGCCCATAAATAATTACGCACACCCCACTTTTCAGTTATTTATTTGTAAAAAATGTTTGGAATCATGGATGATTTTCGTTCCACTTCTCACGTGTACACCACTTTGTGTTGGTCTTTCATGTGGAATTCCAATAAAATTGATTCATGTTTGTGGCTGTAATGTGCCAAAATGTGGAAAAGTTCATGGGGCCGGATACTTTTGCAAGCCACTGTATTATTCTTAAATAGTTTTCAGTTGATTACTTTGAATTTGTCAATTATTTAGAATTGGGGCCTTTTTTGGTTTGTCTTCACAGGCCCTGTTACTGCAAGTCCCCGTCAGTTCAAAACTTATC